CGATTGTACGGGCGCCTACGTGGCACAAATCGTTTAATCGGTCTGAGAGAAGTGCCTGGCATATATTAAGCAATTTCTTTGTCCCAAGTAGTTCCAAGCTGCTCCTTAAGAAGGTCCCAACCAAGTTTAAACGGCGCACACGTCTGAAAACCTGGATATCGCACTTGCCAACAGGCGCTCAGGCCGGGGTCGGGTCCTTATGACGTAATCACACCGCGCCCGGGGAAAGAGGCGGGCTTAGCACACCCGAACCACGTGGGCCGAGAGTGGGCGGGGCTTCAGGGTTCATATCCCAATGTCCTTTGCACCAACTTCCTTTCTGTCTCTTTCCGGCGTTCGAGATGTCGAAGCGAGGTGAGCCTTGCGCTTTGGAGAATCCTCCGCCATCTACCGCAGGATGGCGGCCGGCTAGGCCGGCACGACGGTCCTGGGCAGCTGGGACCCTCCGCTCTCCTCGGGGCTGGGGAGAGCGAGGCGGGGCCCGCGGGAGCACCGGGGAGGACCCCCGAGAGTGGCCCGGGGAGGACGATGGCGTTGTGGAGCGCCAGCCTCGCAGGATCCCGCCCTGATTGCAGGCAGCCCGCCGGGATCGCCACGCGCCGAGCGCTGAAGTCGTGGGGCTAAAGTTGGACGATTTTAGTTCAGAGCGGGCGTCCGGTGGGTTTTCTACCTTAGTGGAGGGAGCTGTGTGGTGCAGAGGTTGGAGCAAGGACTCCTCGTCCGGGCCCCCAGTTCTTGATGCACCCGCGTTAGTAAGTGGGAACTCTGAGATTCACCGTGAGGCCCCGGTGGCACGTGGGCGGTGGGGGCTGGAGAGCTCACCTGCAGCCCACTTGCGCCGTGCGGTGAATTCAAGGTGCTGGGGAAGTCAGAGCCACGGTTTGCCCACCACCACCACCTCTTGCTTCCTTTCCCACGCAGGACGTGGCGGGTCCTCCGGTGCAAAGTTCCGGATTTCCCTGGGTCTTCCGGTCGGAGCGGTGATCAACTGTGCTGACAACACGGGTGAGTCCTTGGGCACGCTGTAGGGCACTCCCCCTTTTAAAAGCACTCATTGGGCCTTTTGCCAGTGACCCACTGAGCCGTCAAAAAGGGCAGATTAAAAAACACCACTTTTGGGTGAAGCGACAACATTTCGTGTTGTTCAGCTTCAATCGGTGATGTGACAAAAGTACCCGCCTTGGGGACCAAAACCAGAGTGTGATCTGGGTGGGGAGGTTTTGAGCTGGGTGTGGGGGGAATGTGGGTGGAACTGTGTAACCCTCTAACTGGCCCCGAAAAGAATTCGTTCTCTTGTTTGCCTTCCTGTACAGGAGCCAAAAATCTATATATCATCTCTGTGAAGGGGATCAAGGGCCGGCTGAACAGACTGCCCGCTGCCGGTGTGGGTGACATGGTGATGGCCACCGTCAAGAAAGGCAAGCCGGAGCTCCGAAAGAAGGGTGAGTAGCAAGAGTGACTCCGCTGTGTCCTGATAGAAAGTTGAAGGCAAATTCTCCCTTCGTTAGAAAGCGAAGCAGTAAGAGTTCTGACATTAAAATCTAGAGCTCACTCTGTTACTATGATTGACTATTTTCCCACTGGCCCCACAAAGTTCCACAGAGCAGGTCTTTATTGTCCACTCCTGACCGCAAGTACTGCCCAGCACCCAGGAGGTGCTCCGTCTGTTGTGTTTGACTGGTATTAAACGTGGTGTGTCCACAGCTTTGAGGCAATGGATAGGTGGCTAGGGCGAGCTCCCTTTTCTGGAAGTACAGATTGGAAGGAGAGTGGTGGCGGAACTCAGTCGATGAACTCTCAGGGAGCATGACCCCAGTCTCCTCGAATCTGCAACGAGTAGGACTCGATGGCACCTGGCTGTTGCTACCAATTATTTGGAGGATACCGTGAAAAGCTCTGGATAGAATGGGAGGAATATTAGAATCAAATTCCTGAAAGGTCAGACATACTAGACCAATAAAATAGAGGGACCACCAAGACAATGATCCTAGGATAGCCTATAAACCTAGAACTGAAGCCACTCTTAGAAGTCACCCTTCATCCATATAATAGATTTCTAAAATGCCGTACATACTTGAGTATAAGCCGACCCAACTATCAGCTGAGAGCACAAAGGTGAGTAGGATGGTAAAGATAAAGATATTTCCCATGAAATTTTAAAAGTTTGGCATGATGTGTTCTAAATCCCATCTGAAGGACAAAACAAGAAGGCAGCGTGGTGCTTGGTGATCGCTGAGCTGGTGGGTGCATTTTTAGAGAGGAAGGGAGCGAACAGGAGCGCTGTCTGTTGGGAGTTATTGGAGACTGTATGTTTTAACGTAGCCACTTGTGGCGTGGCATACAGGACAGATTCGGCTGGTTGCTGGCATGTTGTCTGAGGACTTTGTGAGTCGAGGCCTTAGTAGCATTGGGAGAGTCAACGTGTTGGGTGGGTGGGTGCAAAGGGGACAATCTTTCCTCTTAGAACACTTGCTGGGTCTGATCAGTGCCCTGGGGAGCTGTCAGGGAAGGACAAAGCAAGTGACCACTGCTTTCTGGGTGAGATGGCTGCAGGCTGTGCTGTTCGTCTCAATCAGTGGTGGGACACGCCAGAGCTGTCTGTGCTTTTAAAGTACGTGTGGCGTAGTACAGGCAGGGCTAGACACCCAAAGGCCCTCATGCGGGGCCTTCATTTCTCCACTGCTGGGCTCAGATTGTGTGGTGAGGGTGAAAGGGGTTCTAAGTAGACAAGACTCCCAACCGGGGAGGGCCTTGGTAAATAAGTGTCCTGTTATTAAGAAAGAGGGGTGCATTGTATGCCATAAGGGGTGACGTTCGGTTAACGTGTGACTACATGCTGTCCCTGGAAAACCCGCAAAGGAAAATGGAAGGTCTACCAGAAACACTCGCAGAGGCAGGTTACCAGGGTGTGTATGGGGTTAAGAGCAGAGTGGGTGATGAAAAGATTTGGTGGGGGGGTTCCCAATGCTGCTCTGGTACATGCTACTGAATTGTACAGTTAGTAATGTTACGTTTTTAGAATTCTCAACTGTGTTTAATGTAGGTACTTCCTGTCTAGTGTTTGCCTCGAAATAGCCATGCCCCTGTCCCTAAAAATCCTATATAGGTAGTCCCCAGCTCTTGGCCCTCCCATTTGTAAGCCTATGATATTAAGAATTTGAGCTACACAAAAGGGTTCAGATAGTCTATTCTGTCTCTTGTTGGATGAGGATTGTAAGACTGTCAGTCTCGACAGAAGCAGGTGGACATTCATTTTTCCATTGGGGTGGCTGGTGAGTTCCACCATTGACATTTTGCCTGGCACCTGAGTGCTGCCATCAGGGCGCTGGGAATAGTGAGAAGGGTGAATAGAGCTTCCCTACTAGTTCCTTGAATGTGAGGGTCCCATTCCTTACTGGTGATAATGGCCAAAAGGCATAGAAAGTGCTGATAGGCTGCTGTGTGTCCTCCCAGAAGAGAGCAGTTTGCGGTGATTTGATGTTTGTACAGTTTTTCAAGAGCTCTTAGGAGACGAAAAGCTAATGGGGGTTCTTTCTGTCTGTCTGGGTAGAGGGGTGTGGGGGGCTAGTTGGGTGTAGTGGAAGTTGCTTCACAGGCTAATGTCTGCTTTCCTCACCCTCACCTCTAGTACATCCTGCGGTGGTGATACGGCAACGAAAGTCCTATCGGAGAAAAGATGGTGTGTTTCTTTATTTTGAAGATAATGCGGGGGTCATAGTAAACAATAAAGGCGAAATGAAAGGTAAGGCAGCCGCCTGGAGGTCCCAACTCCCCTGAGATTGACGGGTGTTTGAGTGGAGACCTCTGGCTTAAGTCGTGCCCACCCACCCCCTTTGCCTTTTTGCAGGTTCGGCCATCACAGGACCCGTTGCAAAGGAGTGTGCGGACTTGTGGCCCCGGATTGCGTCCAATGCCGGCAGCATTGCGTGATTTTGCCATGTTTGTAAAAACCACCAACCACCCTATTAAAAATTATTCACACCCGTTGCTTTTGCCTTTTCTTGTGTGCGTGCGCTAGCAGTTACTTCATTTGGGCAGATTGGTAATTTGAACGAATTTTTAGGCTGATAAATGTGCTCATTGTGTAAATTTGCTCATGGAAAATTATCTAATTGTTAGCACTGCCCTCTTGTTTTTAATAGGATGAGATTACAATTGATCCCTCGAAACCTAGAAGTAATAACATTGGCCCTTGAGAGCAAGTCCACACTATGACAGACCCCTGCTTGTGGGTTTCCAGGACCGGTGGGAGTAGGGGGTCCTCTGAGCATAAACCCTGAAAGTGTGGCCACCCTGCCAACTTTGGGTTCACTACTTTTCATAGGCGTGAGGGCACATGCAGGTGGACTGATGAAATCAGATTGTGCTCTGACGCAGCCACTAGATCGGGGCCATGTGAGCAACTCTGAAAATGAGAAGCAGCTGCCTAAACACTTGCGAGCAAGGGGTTTTGGTGGCACAGTGGTTAAGCACTTGGTTTGAAAAGGTATGCAGTTTCTCCATAGGGAAGTACTGTCTGCTTCCATGTGGATGGCCTTGGTTACCCTACTGGGCTCTGCCACTCCTATAGGATTGCTGTCAGAGTAGGGTTGGTTTATTTTGAGGGATTTGAACTCAGGTTTTTCAAGAGTCTTTAGTTGGGCTGGTTACACCTTGCCCTGCGATCTGCGAGGTCAGCAGGGAGATGCCAGCCATTCCCAGATCCAGAAACTCCGGGGCAGTTCTACTTTGTCACCCTGCATCTGGTCACCCTCCACCTGAGGATTTCCCATTGGCCAATCCCGGAAGGGTGGGGATAATGCCATTTGTGTCGCTGTTGGTTTTATAACAGTGGCCCCACGTAACAATGCGCGCAGGTTCAAAGCCCAGCGCCCCTCAGGCAGGGCTTTCCCTGCAACCAGAAAGGCCCGGGGCTGGTGGGCGCGATGGCGAACCAGTGGGAGTGCGCTCTGCGGCTGGAGAAGGGCTTCGTCTTGGATGGGGTGGCGGTGAGCTCCGTGGCCCGCTCCTACGAGCGCACGAGACCCAAGCTCTGGTCGGCGATCCCTCCGTACAACGCGCAGCAGGACTACCACGCCCGCCGCTACTTCCAGAGCTGCGTGGTTCCGCCCGTTTTGCGGAAAACTGAACAGGTACAGAAGCGGCCCAGAACCCTGCTCCCTGGCCGCAGAGATGGCCAACTTCCTGGAACGCGGTCCCAAATCGGCATTGCCAGCACCCTCACCAACAGGGAGGCTCCCCATTTTCAACCCCTCGGGTTTTCTGGGATGGAGGTAACCTAAATAGGAGAATCCTGTCTGGGTTGCTGCAGAGCTGTTCCCATTGGGCGGCTACCCTCAAGGGCAGGAGTTCAAACACACCAGCTCTCTGCGCCTGTAAGGGAATTCCCCCGCGCAGGTCTCCGAACCCCCGCGGTGCCAAGAGTTGGAATTGACTGAGGAAGCTGGGCTCCAAACCCATCTCTCGCAAACCATTCAGGCTCACGGCCCTTGTGACGTCACTGGCCCGCCTTCCTGGGCGGCCTCCTGGAAAAATCCTTGGGGTGTCAGTGAACAAGATCCAGAGACGGGACGTGACCCGCAAGCCGCCGGGTGATGTGATAGTTGCAAGCATGCTCTTGGCCTTCTCCCTCGTCTGCGAGCTTCAAGCTGCCTCATCCCACCCCCACCCCACCACCCCGGGCCTTTTCCCTGGGCGCTGTTGGACCACTCCCTAGCTGAGCACTCCCACCCGTGGAAAGATTCCGAGACCAGCTGTGGATAGTTCCAGTGTTTTCCCAAGCCATGTGCCTCCAATATTTGTGTGCTCATACCAGCACATATCAATATAGAGCCATGGCAGTACGCATGGTTAGGTAATTAATTGGCTGCTAGTCAAAAGGCTGGTGCTTTAGGCCCACCCACCTGTTGTCGCCAAAGGAGAAAGGTGTGGTGGTCTGCTTTGAGAAGAAAACCCTATGTGGCAGTTCCACTCGGCCACACGGGCGCTAGGAGTCACTATCAACCTGACAGCCCCCAACAAGCTCCAGGCCTTAACCTCTGCGCCGTGGGGTGGAGCCCAAGGGGGGCTCAGGAAGGCCCCCCCGGAACAGACCTTGGAGTATGTAGTAGTCCCGGGAGTTGGTATGTGTGCAGTACGTGTGGGTGGGCACACAATCTGTGTGTTCCCTACTTGTCTGTACCTGCTGTCTCTGCAGGTAACTTTGAAAGGAGCCTGGGGAGAGGGGCGGAAAGAAAAGAACTTAACTATTTAAAAGTGGTCATTTACTGCGGTGTACACACATTTGAGAATTGTTACATTTGATGGCATGAACATTCTTGAATCGACACAAGCACCATTTGTAGCAAGGATTGCTTCCGTTTAAAGAAGGCCCTCTCTCTGACCTACCTCATTTAAGACTCCTGCCAACTCTCGTTTTATTAACGAAGAAA